GCACAGGCTGCCCGTGCGAAGATGCGTTTTTTGCATAGTTTCCCGCCGGTTTTGACGCTACCGGCACCAGTTTTTTCGGCAAATGCTTCTAGCTAAACAAGACTGGCCGCCAGAACTGCCAGAAAACACCCCCTCAAAATTTCAGCTTTTTAGCTTTTCTGGCTCCCAAGTTAGCAACTTACCTAAAAAAACTTTCATGGGCTCACAACGTGGGTACCACGCATGCCTGATGTCTGGGTTTGTGCTTACTAACACATACCTGGATGGGGAATATCCCCCTAAAATTCCAATCCTCCAGCTTCTCAGGTTTCCAAGCTAGCAACTTATTCGAAAAAAAAATCCCACGGGTCTGCACATGGGTACCATGCATACCCAGCGGCTGAGTTTGAGCTCACTAATACTTGCTAACTTTGGCGGGGCCGTACGTGGGTATCACGTGGGTAAGGCCGCCCATTCTGGGGATGAGGGTCCGTACATGCATGTAGATTAAGTGCCCAAAGTTTCAGCCCTGTAGCTTTCGTAGGTCTCGAGATGAAAAATCGGTAGAGACGAACACACAGACAACTCCTCGTCAATATGCTTTTTCTGCATTGCATAGACGCAAAAAACGCATAAAAAGAAGCATGCTAAACCTGAAATCCTTAACTGACACAAGATAGTGAATATATTTGTGAAATTTCAGCTTTCTGTTTTGTTTGGTTCCAAAACTGTTTCTTCGCTAAACGTATGTAGACGCTAATTTTAAAAGAGGGGGGCTGCACGTTGGTGAAAATATGCTCCAAAAATTCTAACCTCTTGGTTTTCCCGGTTACTGGTTGAAAATGGGTGACACAATGTGAACACACGCACAACCTTCTGACAATATGCATTTTTGCATTTGCATAAATAAGCAAAAACTCCTGGAAAATAGGAAGGAATTCCGAATATTATAAACTTTACCGCCAAAGCCAAGCAGTGTCGATGTGGCAATTGCCAATCGCAAACAGAGTCATCTGGCTTGGCCCATTCGGTTGACGAAAAAAT